GGCAAGGAGGAGGGGAAGGGTCTCTCCTGCGAACACCAAAACCCCCGGTGTCACACCAGTCTTGGCAAGCAAACCAAGGGATGCGAGCGTTGGCGGTCTCCTGTCCACAGTGGGACCAGTCTCAGCCCTGGCTGTGCAGATTATCTGTTGTACCAGGGGCTTTGATGCTCCCGTGCATTGCTTATGCATCCCTGCAATGCCAGTAGTAATAACAACCTCTCAATGCAGGGCTAACATTTGGTATTGGCCCCATTAATGGCCTCGGCAACATAAATGGCATATTTGCAGCTATTAGGCAAAACCCATACAGCCTGGATTTAATTTTCAGAGGCTTCGAGGTACTTCTGTAATACATCATCATTGCAATCCTCATTTTAGCCTCTTCCTACTTCATTTTAAATAAAGGCAAAACTGAACACCCCCAGTGACCACCTTTGGAGACACGCCGGTGGATCCGGTGATGCTCATGCAGAGCATCCCCAGGAACACGCCCCGGCTGAGAGCGGCCAGAAGGAGAGCTCCTGCCAAGTACAGCAACACTTGTGGTTGGTTCTCCTTTGTATTATTTACACCAACCCACAGGAAAGAAATCTGAAATCCTAATGGTTTTCTTACAGCTGCCCCCTCCCCATCTGCCTGCTGAAGCCCAGGGGAATGAGCCAGTGGCTCAAACACGCTCAGTGAAACTGCATATAAATATAGAAGAGAGGAAGGATGTTGCAAAGATCTGAAACTGGCAGGTACAGAATGAAGCTCAATATAGATAGGCACAATCTGGAGTTTGAGGGAAACTAGAGTCACCGTTTACTTCTTTGTAAAAAGCCAGAGAGAGATTTAATCACTGCAGAAATTTGGGCTTTCATGTTACCCAGAAAATGAAGTTTGTTTTATGTCTTACTTTAACCTGAATGGCACATTTTTTATGCTCTCAATGCTATATGAAGCACCCTTTCATCATGCAGTTTAGCAAAACTCTGTAGCTTAATGATGAAGAAGAATACTCAATCATTTGGGGAAGAAGTCATACACGTTTTCTCTTGATCTCTGCTTTTAGACTGCTATAAATAAAAGTTCTGACGTAAAAATAATTTTTAAAAAAGAAAGGAAAAGAGAAGAACGTTCAGCTACCCTACTCAATCAACACACAAAATGCAAAGATGACAGTTTAATGACTGAAGTGTGCCTGAGGATACTCTGCAACAAATTCTACAGCCATATGGGCTGCAATGATGTTCTGCAGCTGGCTTATGTCTGTGTGTACCAGGAGCTGCTTTACATTTGTCTGTGCAATTAAGGTTTTAAAAGAAACATAACCTTTGGCAGCCATGAAGTACCAACAAGATCTGAACATTTAATTTCAATCTTTTCTTGGTAAAAACTCTAAATATCAAAATGACCGGCTGACTCTCTTCTACTTGTGACAGCAGAAGTCATTGCTTGAAAATGAAGTGTGTCCATAATCTATTTTTTCCCCTTCAGTTTACAAAAGCATCTTGTTTCTTACAAACCATCTTTTTAAAAGAAATAAAAATAAAAAGATAATGTTTGGGAGGAAAACGGTTGTACGAGAATGTAAGCTCAGTGAAGTCCACTGATGTACAGCTTACCTTTCATAGTCAATCTCAAGACTTAGGCTTGAGGTCTGGTTACAGCAGCTTGACAAGTTAGAAGATCCTACCTGACTTGCCCATGACCATGATTGTAGACTGCAGTACATGTGGAATGGGACACCTTAACCCGATGCACTCTTAGGGAAGTCTGAAACAAGTCTCACCACATTGCATGTTTTGTGCACACAACCAGCCACGCGCACCACAGCTCTGCTGGTGTACAGCGGTGCAAGAGCAATGGCTCGATTTGAGCCTGCGCCCTTAGCACGAGTTGCAAAGGACTTAAATATGTGATCTCTGAAGCTTTATTCCCCTTAGCCTCCCTGCCTTTTCACCTGCCTTGCAACCAGTTTCCTTCCGAGGAGTCCCGGGGAATTCCCCTCGGACCCTTCACGGGTAGCCAAGCTGGTCCAGTGACTCTGATGAGCAGAAGGGGCGGGTGTTGCTCTCCCATCCCTCCCTCCTGCTCTTTCCTCTGCTCCTTTTCCCTGCTTCCAGTCACTCGGTCCCATTTTTGCATCCAGATCAGCACCGCGGGGAGAGCTGAGAAGGCAGCAAAGGAAAAAAAAAAAACAAACACAAAAACTGGAAACCAGCGGTGACTCATCAGGCTAATGAGAAGTTTTGCTGTCACGATTACTGTTTCCAGCCCCTCATGAAGGGCTGGAGCCTGCAGGACGCCTGTCAAGCCAGCACCCAAACTCAGGGGACTTCTAAGCCTTTTCATGTCACTGGTCTGGAAGCCCCCGCTGGCTGGCCAGACCCCGAGCAAGCTGTCGCCGGCTTGGAGTGCATCTCTAAATGAGAACATCTGGGAGCACAGGAGATGGCTACCTCACGTCATCTTCCATAAATATCTTCCTCCTCATTACAAGACTGGGACTATCGTCACCCTCTACCCTCTGTCACCTTGTGTCAGTTTGAAGGCTCATATGCATAACCAGGGCGATAAAACACCCTCGATCCTCTGTTGGCACCAGGATTTAGATCCATCATTTACGGAAACTAACTTCTGCTACAAACCTCGTTGGCCTTCTAATTTAATGACAATTTCAGGTTTGATTTTGTTTGGCTTTAGTAGAAATAACATGGATTTAGGAGGTCCAAGCCACTTTGATTTATTAATGACCTCCTTCAAGAGAGCCGAGTGTGTGCAACAAGCTAACCCTGCAATCCACTGCTCTAAACACATCAATTATTATCATCAGTCATAATTAACTGCTGAGTGGAGACGCCAAGGACTTCATACCCTAAAAGTACTTTGCACCAGTTGCTCCTCCCACGTCAGGATGCTTCGTGCAGGCAGGGCCGTCTCCTGTGGCTCAGGGCCAACGCAGAGGAGGTGCTCCATTCTCCAGTTGAAGTGCTAAAGCATACACGCTAATGGCCTTAAGTATCCAGGTATTACCAGCAGAGATACTGCTAGAAAATTAAGGAAGCTGATTGAGTAAGAGCTCCCTGGTCCTGGATAAACTGCAGTAGCTGCTCCCGTGAGACTGAGGGTTAGAGAGCCAGGAGGAACTGGCTAATCAGAAGACATCCCAAACCCTGAGCTCAGGTGCAAATGGGATGTTCAAGAGAAAACATGTTAAGCAATTGAAAGAAGAAAACAAAGTAGGGACACAGGATCAACTGAATCAGATCTACAGTCTGGGTCTGAAGACTGAGGCTAACAGAGATGATGGGAGCTGGATGAAGGTGGGAAAAGGAGAGTTAAGAGGTGAAGGCAATCTGAGTCATACTGCTCTCATTTTATCAAGTAGGAGAAAAATGGAAGTGCCTCTGTATGACAGCCCCAGCCTCTCTCCTACCCTTGACAAGTGTCACTGGAGAGGTATGGAGGTTTCTGCAGCTCCCAGTGCAGCTGACTGGCAAATTCACATCCCTCTTTTGGAAATCTCTTCAGGAGAGGCAGAACCAGGGCTTGCCACAGGCTATTGGAGACCATGCTTTAACTTCTTGTATTAAACAGAGCCCCATTCAAAACGTTCTGTGAACAGACTGTGGTTCCCAAAGTCTGCAGTTTTACAGCCCCTCACCAAAATAATCCCTCTTCCCGTTCCTGTTTTCCATGCCCTTTCCCATCCCTCCAGCCAGGATGCCTTTAGTTCCCTGTGGTGTCCCTGAGACCTTCCCCCCCTCCCTGCCAGCAACACAGCCTGCAGATCTGCTCCCCCAAGCCCAGAGGCAGCACGCCTGGGGTAGCTGCAAGCTCTGCTTGCGCTTCTGCGTGCGGCTGGTCAGAAGGCCAAATAAAACGAAACAAAATTAAATAAATGACCCTCACTTCACACTGAAGATCAGCAGTGACACTTCTCTGCAGCTCTACAGGGCTACTGATTCTCTCTAAACTTGCAGGAAGTTCAAAACTTGGAGCACTAAGCTTCCATCGAATCTGTTTGAAATGCCCAAGGAATTAAAAAATTGTTAAAAGCAGAGCAACTTCGCTTTCCTCGAAAAGCAGACTAACAGCAATGCAGGGACACTTGCAGGGAAGTATTGAACATAGAGAGAAAAAATATTCAATTGGGGCAAATACTCCTGGATGCTATGTTTCCTGGATCTTCTTTGTTTATTTTTGTTACTATTGCGAGTGCATTGGTCAAAAAAAAAAGGAGGGGCATTTGGCTCCTAGCAAGTAACTTCATTGTTCTGCCAATAAGACTATGAGCATTTCCTGACAGACTTCTCTGGTGGCACAGCTGCAGTTTCAACTTTGGGAAACCAAGTTTAAGTCAGTGGTCTGCAGGGTTAAAGAGACCGCAAGAAAATATCAAGAAAATTCAGAGGAGGAACATTTATACGTGACATCAAGGGCAGTCAATCAATTTGCCATTACTTAAAGCTGTTCCCTCAATTCTATGAAGAAAAAAGAGCAATCTACCGCAATGGCACTTCACGGTCGTGAGTAATAAACATGCGCCTTCAGCTCACGTGGACCTTGAATGTTCTTGGTAGATGCAAATCCATCCTCATTTCTCTGCTTATTCAGCACAGAGTAGGCAAGGATACGGCTTAATGAGAATCTGGACTGTTTCTGGTCGAGCTGCTGATAGGGGCATAAGAGAAAATACATTTAAGACCTAAACACAGAATATATTTTTTGTGCATTGTTCCAGGATAGCGCTGCCGCTGCCGACACAGGGACTTTCTCACCAGCGTGTCCCTCCCTGACCAGCCACCTCCACCATCCCTGCACGGTGCTAGCGCCAGCAATGAGTCCTGCACTGCACAGTGCTCACTGATTGAAGGACAGGGCTGAGAAAAAGCAGAGCTGTTCCTCAGAGCTGAAAAATCGCTCCTGTCCAACCCGAGCTGTTGCACAAC